TTGGGAAAGTGACAAACACGGCTCTGGGTTTTGTCCTGCTCCGGACAAAGGGCAGCGATGCTCTCACCCCTGGGCCAACTGCAGCCCAGCAGGAGGAGCCCGGAGCCCTCTGCCAGCCGAGGCTGAGACCGTGCAAACAGCAACAGGACGGGGTCTGCAGGGCTGCCCTCCTCCGGGCTGCTCCAGCCAGGCGTGCACCTCTTCTGCTCTTCAGCGTGAGATGGAAACAGCTCGCCACGCAGCAGGACACAAAACATCCGCACAGCTGACCAGGGAGTTTTTGGTAAGGACGGAGCAAAGTGGGGAAACCGCATCCCCTCAATCAGACGCATCTTTCCACATCCACCACTGCTCACAACCCTCGGGATCCCATCAGCCCTGGGCTCCGATCAGCCACGTTCGTCCTCTTTCCCATCCCCAACTCACAGCTCTTGCTGTCCAGGTGTCCCTGCAGCCCCCGGTCCCCACGTCCCTCTGCATGCTGCTGCCGACACCAGGCCTCGTCCCAGCCCTCCTCCCAGCCCACCACCCGGCTCATTATCTGCAGTCCCTGCTCAGCTCCACCTCCTCCTCCTCCTCCTCCACCAGGTCCCAATCTCCGCTCCTCCCAGGTGTCTCCTGACCTCCCCGGTGCCTCCCCCTGCCCCAAACCTGAGCACTCCTCAGCAGAAGGCACCGGACCCACACAGCCCATGCTGAGCAGTTCTGAGATGCCAACCCCATCAGAAAGGAATGAATCACAGAATGTCACCCGTTGGCACAGACCCACAAGGATCCCCGAGTCCACATCCAGGCTCTGAGAGCAGATCCCCACGACCACACTCTGCTCCATCCACCACCTCCGCGGTCCAAATGCCACACCACCTTCCTGTCGGGTGCTCCCTATGGGTCCCTTCCAATTGGAATTCTATGATTCAGTCCTTTCTGGTGAGATCAGCACCTCCAAACTCCACGTTGTGGACTACACCAGCAAGGCAGATCTCTGGATCTCAAACACCCAGCGAAAAGCAGGTGGAACTTCTCAAATAAGATCACCTTCCATTTAACCACCCGTATCACCTGGCAGCAAATCCCTGCCGCAAGGCAGCAGATGCTCCCAGCACTGATTTCATCCATCAAGCAAGCAGAGTTCAGCCACCACAGTGAGAAACCCAGACTCGGCACAGACAACATTCCACGTGGGACAAATAAAGAGGAGCAGCAGCAGGCAATTGAGCACTGCTGGGAGGAGAGAAACACGCATTCACCTCTCCAGCCAAGGAAGGAAGAGTCCAAGGAAGCACAGCCTTGTCATTCAGCAAAGCCAGAGGCTGACACATCCTCTCATCGGATCCAGGGCTAAACAGCATCAGAAGGGGATGTGGGAAGTGCTGGTCCAGAAGAAAACCATGCCACCCCTCTATTCCTTCACTTCAAATCCACCACCGCTGCCTTCCCCCAAAATCCTGCTTTGCACCCTTGAAAACAAACCCGCTCTGGCTGGGCGTGCTAACAATGATTGCGTACTGTCATTCATGTTTTTCTACGTGATCCCCATTTGTTACCCTCCTGTCCCTCCCCTACACACACACTTCAGTAACACTGCTGAGGATCTGTTTGTGCCCACACAGCAGCCGTATCCAGCAGCAACATCCTCCCGCACGAGATGTGTGTGTAGGAACACCGCCTGGCACCCAGGAGAGCAGCTCTCCCTGCTCACATCACGACCCCCTGTGCCAACCCAAGGGTGGTTCTGTACCAGCACATCCCTGCTCTGCTGGAGCCAGCAGCTCCATCTGTGCCACGCGACATTGGCTTCTCCACAGCAGAAGATCTGCTGGGGTGGCTGCAGTGGGAAACACCATTTCTGCTCCCTCCTGCCCACACGGCAGCCCCAGCAGCTGCTTGGGCAGCATGGCAGGTGCAAAGCCCATTTCCCAGCTGCGCACCTCTGACCCTCACCTCTACTCACAAAGAAGAGTGCGACCACACAAAGCCCAGCACAGCACTTCTCTTCCAGGTCTCTGCCAGGATAGGCAGCAGAGCCTCACCTCAGCCACAGGCAGTGCCTTTACACACACTCGTTCATGAACAGGCCTATTTCCCTTCTAAGCCTACGTAAATTTTGAGCAAAACTTGATCTGCCTTGTGCAAAAGCTGCTGCACACCTCCCACCAAGCTCCTTTCTGCTCCCTGCACCTCTTCTGACTCTCCCACCACTTTTGGGACTGCAGGGCTACAAGCACCATTTACAGGACAACAGTCTCTTTTTTTTTCTTCCTCTTTTCTATTGCTTTTCTGATAACTCCTCACCAAGGAAGTCTAAAAACTGAGGACGTTCCATTGCCACCAAGGCAGCCACGATGCTGGGACAGGTTACAGCACCAGTGCTGATGCTGCAGAGCAGAGCAGATGTAAAACCTGGAGTTCAGCAACTGCATCCACCAGTACAGTCAGAGTGAGAGCAGAAAGGAGGCACAGAGGGGAGGACAGATGTAAAGTGGGCAGGATCGGACCCTCCTGACTGCAGAACAAGCCAAGTGTCGGCATAAAATTCACATTCATCATCCAAAAGATGCTCTTGAAAGCTGAGAAAAAAACAGTGTCTGCAGCTCAGGCAGAAGTCCAAACAGCTCTACGTGAACCAAGCTAAGGCTGTGACTGCTCACAGGGCGAGGAGCAGCGAGGATCAGCAGGTTCATTGAGATGTGTTGCAATGGGCCTCCTCTGCAAGAGGACGCTCATCATCAGCCCCAACCTGTCTGCAACACCAGCCTCCAAAACATCTCTGTTTCATCCCTACAGACACGATGGGAGAGAGCCAGCAGAGGAAGAGCCACTGCTCCATCCCCGACCCGGACTGGCTCAGGGTGCCTCCAACAAGAGCGAGCAGGGAGGCACAGAGAAGAGCCTCCACTGCAGCAGAATCCATACAGACAGGGATGCGCTCATGGTTCAGTGGAGCAAAAATGAAACACATCGCTGTGGACTGAATTAAAAGCAAGGCTTTGGGCTTTTTTTTTTTTTTTTCCCCCTCAGATCCTTTTTTCTTTCAGTCTTGATGGCAATAAGAACACGCCAGCAGTTCAGAGAATGAATCGAATGGTTGGCTTGGAAAGGACCTTAAAGCTCACAGAACCATGTAAAAGTTGGGTTGAAAGGGACCTTAAAGATCACCCATTTCCAACCACGGCCTGGGTGCTCCACACCACGTTGGGCTTCCCAGGGCTCCAGCCACGGCCCTGGGTGCTTCCAGGGATGGGGAAACAAGAGAAGCCCAACGAGACACTTTAGAACAACACCATCGTTACGTTTTCCCCTCGATAATTTCAATAAAAAGGCAACTTGGCTCACATTTACTCCTAGGAGCTCCTATCCAAACACACCGCAGTGACACACTCCCTCTCTCCAGCACACTTCACCACCTCTTGAAGAAAGGTACGATCACCAAGGGTGCGTGAAGAATTCCTTCCAGAATTCCTTCCACTCCTGTCTCGAGGTTCTCTCCCTCCTGAGAGCACAGGCTCACAGTCCAGCTCGACTCGCCGCGTCCCACACTGCTCAGCACCACTTCAGCACAAAGGAGCACGGCTGTGTTCAGAGCTCTCCCTGTGGAACGTCACAAAAACCATCACCACAAAGATCCACAACGATGCTCAGAGGACTGGAGCACCTCTGCATGGAGAAAGGCTGAGGGAGTGAGGCTCGTTTGGCCTGAAGAACAGAAAGCTCCAGGGAGACATCGCTGCAGCCGCCCAGTACTTGAAGGGAGATTCTGAGCAGGAGCGGGACTGACCTTTTACATGCACTGATAGCAATAGGAACGGCTTTTAAGTTAATAGGGGAGATTGGAGTGGGATGTGAGAGGGAAATCCTTTCCCGAGAGGCGGTGAGGCCACAGCACCGCTGCCCAGAAACATGGGTGCCATCCCTGGAGCTGCCCAAGGCCACGGATGGGGCGAGCTGCTGGGGGGCAGCCAGGCAGGGGGGGTCCCTTCCAGCCCAGGGATTCTGTGGCTCTGTGATTCCATGAAGGAAACCATGGGAACGGGAGACACCCGGGTCCTGCCCACAGACACCTACAGACCTCCACCATCAGATCTGCATCGTTTGTGCCGACACAACAAACAATTCACCTCAGCGACACCCGTGCAGAGTGCTGGGGTGGATCGGAATTAGGGAAGGACCACAGAATCACGAAGGTCGGAGAAGACCTCCGAGATCACCAGCCCAACCCCAACCCACCCCACCGAGATCACAGAATGGCCAGGGTTGGCAGGGACCTTAAGGGTCATTAATCTCCAACCCCCTGCCACACGCAGGGAATCACCGGTCCAACCCCAACCCACCCCACCGCGCCTGCTGACCGCGTCCCCACGCGCCACATCTCCACGGCTCTTAAACACCTCCAGGGACGGTGATTCCCCCACCTCCCCGTGCAGCTGTGCCGCCGCACCACCACCCCTACTAAGAAGAAACACCCCCTAATATCCGACCTGAACTCCCAACGTGGGCCCATCACCTCCTGTCCCATCGCTGATCCCCGGGGAGCGGCGGCCGCCCCCCCCCCCCCCCACTCGCTCCAGCCCCGCTCACGGCCCGCACGCAGGGAGCACCGAGGTCTCCCCGAGCCCCGCTCCGCCCCACGCCGGCCCCGCTCAGCCCCGCCGCCTTTCTCCGGACGCACTGCGGGCTCCCGGTTCGTTTTCTGCACTCCGAAGCCGAGCGGCGCACACGGCAATAAATAACAACAAACTTCCTCCCTGCCCGCTACGACCCGCGGACCGAAACGAACCCTTCCGTTCGCGCCGCCCCCGCCCGGCGCCGAAGCGCCGAAGCTCCCGAGCTCGCAGCCGGCCCCGCTCGCGGCTCCGGGCGGCTTCGGGGCCGCAGCCCGCGGGGCGATCCAGGCCCGGAGCTCCGCCGGGAGCGCCGCGAAGGCCGCGCCGACGGGCGGGGGAAGGGAGCGGAGCGCCGGGCCGCGGTGCCGGGGCCGAGGCGGGGCCGGGCCGAGGCCTCACCTTGGGCAGCTCGCGGAGCTGGTTGGCGTCCAGCAGCAGCTCCTCCAGCGAGCGGCTGTAGCGGTAGATCTCCTCGGGCACGGCCTGCAGCGAGCAGTGCCGCCGGTCCAGCGCCTCCACGTGCCGGTTGCAGCGCCAGAGCGGCGGGACGCAGCGCAGCATCGCGGCCCGGATCGGTCCGGGGAGGGGAGAGGGGAGGGGGGAGAAACCGGGAGAGCCGCGCCGGGAAGGGCCGCCCGGGGTTGGGGGGGGAGGGCCCGGATGTGCCGTGCGGAGGGGGCGGCGCCGAGCGGGGAAGGGCCGGGCGGCACCGCGGCACCGCCGTGCGAGAGCACCGCCGCCGATGGGACGCGGCTCGGCCCGCCCCCCGCGGGCGGCGTCGGGAAACGGAGTGCGGAGCGGAGGGGAGCGGAGCGGTCGGTGCGGCACCGAAGGGCGGCGGGAAGCCGCGCTGTGCCCCGGGAGCTGCTGGCGACGGCCTCGAGTGGTGCTGGGAACGTTCGGAATGGAGACGGGAACGATTCCTTGTTGGAAAGAGCGGTAACGTGCGCTGGCAGAGGATGCTCGGGGAATCGCAGAATGGCCCGGGTTGGAAGGGACCCCAAAGATCACGAAGCTCCAACCCCCCACCACAGCAGGGCCACCAACCTCCACGTTTCGCAGCAGCCCGGGCCCCATCGAACCTGGCCTCGAACCTCCAGGGATGGACGGGGCATCACAGCCTCTCTGGGCAGCTGGGGAAATGGGTTGAAGTTGAGAGAGGGCAGATTAAGGTTGGATGTCAGGGGAAGTTCTTTGCTATGAGAGCGGTGAGGTGCTGGAACAGCTGCCTAGAGAGGCAGCAGGTTGGCCCTGCTGTGGTGGGGGTTGGAGCTTCGTGATCCTTGGGGTCCCTTCCAACCCGGGCCATTCTGTGATTCTGTCCTGAAGGAAGCTGTGTTGTCAACAGCCAGGTGAGGGTCAGGTTGGACATCAGGAAAAGGTTCTTCCCCAGAGGGCATGGAGCAGCACTCAGGGCGGTGGGCACAGCCCCGAGCTGCTGGGGGTCGAGGAGCATTGGGACACCTCCCTTAGACATTGGGTTTGGATGGTGCTGTGTGGGGCCAGGAGTTGGATTCAGTGATTCTCGGGGATCCCTTCCAGGTAGGAATATTTGATGATTCTAAGAACCACCCCCTCTGTTCTCTGTGTGTATCAGCAGTTTCCAGGAGAACGGCTGATTGATTGAAGTTGAACAGGGACCGTAAAGATCATGGGCTGCCAACCTCCTGCTGTGGGCTGGGTGTCCCCACCAGCTCAGCCCAGGGCCCTGTGTCCCATCCTTGGGCACCTCCAGGGATGGTCATCCACTCTTCTCTGGGCAGCAGTGCCACAGCTTCACCCCCTCCGTGTGAAGGACTTCCTCCTCTTTTTTTGCTGGCATCCTCTTTCAGAATGATGAGGACACCCACTGCTGTGTTAGCAGCACGCAGCCCTGTCACTGCCACAGCAGGAAAACTGAGGACCCACATAAGAGGGTGTGTAGGAAACCACCGTCAAATTGGAGTTTTCATAGGGGAAGTTGAACCGTTTACCTGGAATAAAGGTTATGTGGATGGAGTCCTCCCAAATACATTGAAATGCTAAAGAAACTTCAGCCTCGATCTCTTCCTGCTCCTGGGATCAGCAATCCTCAGGATTCTCCCACTTTGCACCTTCACAGACCACCAGCAGGAACCGCACAGAGAACAGCATTCCATACATTGAAGACCTGAAATCTGAGGTCCGGGGCCAAATAAAACATGGGTGGAATGCAGAGCTGTAATAAGGTGCATCCGTGCGCGGTGTCACTCAGGGATTGGTTGCCGCTTTTGTCCAAGCATTGAAATCTCAGTCAGGAGACTCAGAAAAACGTGTTTCATTGCTGGGGTTGGATAGGGACAAACAGGAGGAACAGAAAGAGGAACAGGCTGGAACCCAAGGGATACACAGACCGAACTTGGCCGAGTCTCCTGGAGTTATTAAACACCAGACAGAGCTCACAGGAGCACCTTTATCCGTTGGGGTGACGCCTCAAGCCTTGGAAGCAATCCTGCACAGGCAGAGGTCTGAGCAGAGGTGCAGAATCTGACAAACTTCCTTTTCCCTGCTGTGCTGAAACAAGCCGATTCAGAACTTAAGAACCACTCCTCCAAGCTCAAAGATTGTCCCAGGCTCCTCTGATAGGTTGTTCTTTAAGCTGCATTCTCTTGAGGCAGTGCTGATGAGGCGCCAGGAAGGGCTCAGACCTCCTTCAGGTTGGACATCAGGAGCTGTTTCTTTCTGAGTGGCGATGCAGTGGCAGCTGCACAGGGCAGTGGGGGCTCTCTGTCCCTGGAGGTGCTCCAGAGCCGTGCAGATGTGGCACCTGGGGACACGGTTGGTGGGCATGGTGGGATGGGGTTGGATGTGGGGATCTTGGGGTTCTTCTCCAACCTCAGCGATTCTGTGATTCTATCACAGAGCTGAAGAGCTGGAGCCAACACCTGCAGGCCCAGCCCTGAGCTCTTGGCTCTGCTTTGCACCAGTGCTGTTTCTTTCCTGTAGGGGTCAGAAAAACTAATGATCAGGTCCAGGCTGAGAACTCCAGCACTCCGGTAAAAGGGTTTCCTCCTCACCCCAAACGTTTTGGAGATGCTTTCAGCAGAACGCAGAGCCTCCTCTGCCAGCTGCCACCAGGCAGAGCTTGGTGCAGCTGCATCTCCACAGCTCGAGGCCATCAGCAAGTAAAGCACAATGCATCCCAGTTCCATCCCTGTTGGAGCAGCTGGGCTTCGCTCCGGGTAAGGATGAGCCCTGGCCCCCCACTCCTCCCAACCTATGATTGCCACTCTGTACTGGCACACCTCAACTGGAGCCCAGGAACTGTAGGAACACAAGAACGCTTTGGACCCATCTCAACTTTCCATGTCTTCCAACCAACGACCTCAGATCCTTACGAGAGGGCTGTTCCCAGCTTAGGTGAGCAAAGGAAGGTGAGTCCAGTGGAGCGGAGCCACGGGGCAAGACTTGCAAGTTGCTTCTGCAAAATGCCCCTTGTGCTCACATCTCCCAACCAGCTCGCCCTGATGGCCGACGCTGCCAAAGGATGCACTGAGGAAGCCCTAGAGACAACTCCTGTTTTGCAGCGGCGTTCTGCCAACAGGAAATCTCACACAGACCTCTCAGAAACACATACGTGAGGGATTGGCGAGGCATTACGCCCCTAACTTCATTCTTTTCTGTGGCACACACACCTACTTCCAAATCCTACGGCATGAAAGGTGAATACATCTGGCCTACCTCACATCTTTTTAGGATCCAGGGGAAAAAGCCCTTCCTCAGTGCGGGATTTTTCCCTACTTCCCTTGTTAGTTTGAGATGTTTCTCTGCCTTTCCCACTCCGGCTGATCCTCCATCACACAGCTGAGCTGTCAAATCTGAAGCCCCTTTTCTTCAGTTTGTAAAATACCATCTTGTCAGAATTAAGACTGACTGTGTTAGAACTGCTAGCTCTCAGCCAGTCATCCTTTAACACACACTGGATCCTTGCATCAACTTCTACCCTTTCTTTCCTCTCCCTGCTGTTTTAGAACCACCACCAAGGTAAGGAAGCACCCGGTGCCACCTCACGCTCCTACATCCAGCCCACAGCAACGAGCACCAGAAAATGGAAACCAGAGAGGATGAGGGTAACACAGAAACGAGCTGGAAACGGCGAGCTTTCCTCCGTATTACAGACAAAAGCAGCGAGGAAGCGGCGATGCGCTGCCAAAGGAAAGGCAGCTGTGAGCTGTGAACGAGGTGGATGGGATCACAGGTGGTGTGGGATGAGGCTCTTCCAGCACACTGAGAGGAGTGCCAGCACCAGGCCCTGCAGAGGTCTCATGTAGAATGCATTCATCAGGTCTAATTAACTACTGCCAAGCAAATGGGCACGAGAAGGGCACAGAGCTGCGGGAGCAGCGCCAGGCTCGGCCCATAGAGATGCTCAGGAGTTGGAGCACCTCTGCTACGGAGCCAGACTGAGAGCTGGGGCAATGGGAGAACAGAAATAAGTCCATAAATTAGCTGTAAATTAAGCTTCAAATACAGATTTCTAACCTACAACTGAAGTTGGAGTATTTAAAACAAGGTAATTTTTAGTGTCTCTAAGTTTAGAAGCAGCATGCAGCTCAACTCAGGCCGCCCTCCTGAAATTCCTTTGGGGTCCTTCTTCTGTTATTAGAATTCCTACATTATTTTTTCTTCAGCTCTGTGCTGTCTTTGCAGTTTTGCATAGTAAAGAACACAATACCCCCTTACATGCTTACAGTGTTTAGAATCGTTAACAAAAGCTAATTCTATTCCTAATTAGACAGAAAGATACCGAAATACATGCATTCAGGTTTTGAAAATACTACCAAAACTTTGGGCCCTCAAAAAAACCCAACCTGTCTTTCAGGCAAGGCACTGCTGCATGCTGCTGTGCTCCTCCTCACTGCCCTTTACACAAGGATATTGAGTAAAAGCTCCTCACGTGGTGCTTTCTTCACCCCAGCTGTGATGCTGGTGGTCTGAGCTGACACCGGTTTGGGCACAGGAAGGAAGAAGAATCAGTGTGGGTGACTGACACACCAACAGAAGCGAGCTGTAACCGTGGATCAGGGCAGACAGGATGCCAACACACCGAGAAGATGCAGCTGCTTCACTTCTGGGCTCTGCTCCACGCTGGGGCTCCCGGGAGCTGAAGCTCATCATGCAAGTCCTCAGCAAGAAGGCGCCCTCCTGGCACTGCCCCGGCTCTCCTCCATCTGGCTCACAGTATTTGAGCAGCACTGCTGTATCACTGGGACCCCCCCCCTCCTCCAGCCCAGCTATCGGCCCGTTTCTGAAGCAAACACAAACTCCAGCCCTTGAGGCACGGCGGGATCCTGAGTGCTTCTGCAGCGACCCCAGCGTGAAGCACAAAGAGCACGCAGGGCCCCTCTTCAGGCTCTGGCTCCACTCCTGCAGGCTGAGGCGGCTGCACCCGATGGGCGCTCGTCCCTTGAACACACACAAAAACACAAGTTAACTTTCTTGGTGCTTTTATCCAAACTACGAGTACATCACAGAGATCTGTGCCCACGTGGGAGCATTCTTTACACATGGCTAAAAAAACAGACAGGCAGAGGGGACAGGGGCCGAGTCCTTCCTGCAGAGTTCATGCCGACAGGTCGCTGTTATCAAACCTCTCCTGGTCGTACACCTCTGCCACCACCTTTCTGCC